TTCTCTTGAAATGATTCATATTAGTAGGTCTTTCATGAAGTTATTTGACTGTGTGTCAACAGCAGAATTCTAACCGCAGTGGTTAATGTGTAAACCTAGTAGCAGTGATGATGGCCCCCATTGGCCCCTGATAAGAAAGCTGGGCTCCTGCCGAGCCACTGAACACATCAGTGGGAGATTTCAGTGACTGGATCGCTTTTAAGAAAGTAGATGCAATTCCTCTGACGCCTGAAGACGATGTGCTAATGTTTCGCACAGGTCTCGAAGTAACTCAACTGGAATAACGTAAAAAGTCTTCAGACTTTGGAAGTATTGTCAAGTTAAAAACTGGACTGGACTAAAAATGGACTTTGGGTCTTCTGGGAATAATCTCCTCCATGTGGACCTCAACATTGATGAGAATGAACCTTGTAGAGGAATTCTGGATCTTCTAAGAATACTCCGACCTTATTGGAAGACAGAAGACATTCAAATGAAGGCAAGTGACTGTCTACCTGCCTGACGTTGGGAAATAAGCTAACTTAGAAAATGTATTCGCTACGTCTCCCCCAGATGCCCCCTCTCCCCCCCACGTAGTCCTACAGCTGTGTTTTAATGTAGGGGATATGGTTTTTTCGGTTAATTACAGCCATATTACTTTTCCAACCAAAATCAATGGGCGCTTTTGTTACATCAATGGTGAGTATCCTAAGTGGAAAAACTGACAATCAAATTCTGGGCTGGACCGAGTCACTCATTTAGTTAATTTCGTAAGGTCCAGGTCTATGTCTTCCAGTTTGGTCCCATACTGTCTGAATTTATCTGAACTTGATGTTAAAACCCTAAATCCTGTCATGACAAGGGCAGCTGAAAGATGGACTGCAATGAACTCCAAGTTAATGGTTTCTAGGATTTTGTTTGTTTACACGCACCACAGGTTTGTGTTTTACCTTAAACAGAGGTCAGGTTTAAAAAAGCTAATATATATATAAGCTGAGCAGTTTGTGACCAATAATATATATATAAGCTGAGCAGTTTGTGGGGAGTTTTAGAATAAAAAAAATGACCAACGTAAACTGAATTTAAGTTAGCATGATTAAAAATGCTGTGTTAAAACCCATTTGCTGGTAAAATAGTATTTCAATACATATTATTAAATATTATACAAATAATTACATGATCTTCGCAGAGCTCTTTTTTTAAAAATAATTTCTTCTTTTTTTTCTTAATTTGATATCTATCTATTGGTATCTCCACCTGTCTTATATGACTCCCAGCAGGTTACAGAATTGAAATAATTCATTTTCAAGCTTAGCACCACAAAATGAAAAATAAAATCAACAGCTCAGGGTTTTTAGTTTTTTTTCCCAAACCCTAAGACCCTGAGAACAGTTGTGTGGATGTTGTCAGAGCATGTGTTCAGAACAGAATAATCCCATTCTGGTCCCATGTGCAAACACAACGTCCAATCTTTCAGAGAAATTGGGTTTATATTTGTTAGGTGAAAGCACATTGGGTGGATGACCCCTCAATCTACACCCACTCCAGTACTGTACACAAAAGAGTACATGCTTCTCCCTGACCCTCATCGTTCCAAAGTCCGGGCTAATGAAGTATTGTGTTTATTTGATAGGATACATACTGGAGAATGCACTGCTATACAGATGCTCTAAATCTTCTGGTATGTTCTCAGATAATATTTATTTAACGGGTTGATTTTAATAGCACACTGACAGGTTATTCGGTTGTAATGCCATAGAGTACAAATATGAATGTGTTTAATACATATAAAATATTTTAAAAAAATACTAACTACTAACTAAAAGATAATGAATATAGTACACATATCTCAAGGACAAAGAGGTTTTAATTGTATTATCAAAGCCAGTGGAAAGCATCAAAGTGGCCCTGTGGCCTCAGTATAAATAGTTGATCAGATGCCAAGGTGGGCCTGTTTGTTCACTTTCTATCTTGATGAAAAACTGTTGTGTGCAGGTCCCATCTGAGGCCCAGAAAATGCCTTGGAGACTGTTGCAGAGAATGAGAGACTTTGAGAAACCACTGAATGACAACAAATGTGTGACGAGGCCTCTGCAGGCAAACAGTGGTCACTGTGGGATCGCTGTGTACACAGCCGTACAGGCTGTACCCAATGTGTGATCTTTAATGTTGAAAAAGAACAAATCCTTCTATTGTCATATATATATATATATGCACACACACACTGTACAGTGTGTTACTAGGATACACCAGTGGAGGTTAATAGACTTCTGTGTAGACGTAGGGATTTTTGTTTGTTTCCTTATAGTTTCATACTGTTTTTTCCTCTTCCAGACATTCACAGAAGGCCTCACCAATCAGCTGATCGGCTGCTACTTGGGCTCCCTGCAGGAGCCAGGCTGCGTTCTAGTGAGAATCTATGGTAGAAGGACCGAGCTCTATGTGAACCGCGTCAGGGAAGTAGAAATGTTCCAGGTGTTCCACAGCCACGGCTGTGGTCCAGAGATCTACTGCACCTTCCAGAATGGAATCTGCTACGAGTTTGTTGGAGGAGCGGTGCTCGACGATGAGCTTCTGCCACAGCCCTCCATTTACAGGTCTCATCAGAACATCACACATAACCAATACATGCACTAAATGAAGGGCTTTTGTACGACTAACCCAGCCACTATAAAAACACTCATATTCTAAATAAAGAAACAAGCATCAAAACTTAAACTAACAGCAATCACACAGTTTTACAAAATACTGCACTAGACCAAGGGACTGCAATTTTCAACACTAACAGAGCAATTTCTTACCATTTTGCCAGCAAATAAAATTCAGCAAAGTGATGGCACAGGTGTTGGACATGAAGCACTGCAGTAAAACTACAGATTTATATGAACTCGTAACAATGTATTATTGTTGACCTGAAGATGCAAATTTCTAACACTCACTACGATCACACACAGTGACCTCAAGTCACATAAATTGCACTTGTGATAATGAGTCATCATAAGCTTTTGTAAGCTTGTGATGACAACGGTGCATGTAATTGTAATTATTTGGGATTTATTAGTGATTTCTTGAATTATTAAAACTTGCAGCACTGAATGATAAATACTAGGCTTGTCCAATATATTCTCTTTTCAACACTCCCTTGTCTCCATAACTGTTTTGTCAAACTACAACATGAGTTTTAAATTTTAATGTTTCACTTTGATGAGTTGCCACAATTTATAAACCCACTGTGATTTATTTATTCGAAAAGGACACGCATACATTGTAAGCAAGTAAAAGTTTAACCATAATTGTGCCTAAAAGATACAAGTTCCCTTTAAGTTAGTGTAAATGCTTTTCAGTTGAAGACAACTTGATTAAAATTACAGTCAAATTAATTTCTATCCAAATGCTACGCTTTAAATTCAATTTTCAGGTCGAGGGTGAACATTTTTCAATGATTCATTAAAAATAACATGAACTCTTAAACACTTGTTTTTTGACAAAACAGTCAAAGGTCATTGTTGTGTGTTTGTGTGAATGTGTGTGCGTCGAATGTTTCAGCGACGCTGACGCAGGTGTTTTGTTTAATTATTTCAGCTGAGTCATGTTTCAAGGAAGGTTGAAGGATGTTGTTTACTAATGGCCCCCGTTTCATATATCACTCTGATAATAACAGCCCAGCATCATTAATCTAAGCACAGGGCAATAGGACACAACAGCCAGTCAAGGCTGAACAGTCAAGGCCATGACAGACATCAATCACCTGGCTCTGCCTGATACCCTCTTTGGGGAAAAATCCAGAAACTGCCGTGTTAAATGCCGAGATGTCTCAAGTATGAAAACTCAAGTGGTCAAAAGGTCACAAATGCAGCAAAGCCCATTTTGGTGAAAAGAAGAAGAAGATAAGAGCACTAAATGGAGAGGGAGTTGTGTATCTACTCTGATAATGACTGTTTGTGCAATAACAGTGTCGACGGGGCTGATCTGAGAAAATGTTTTCTTTCTGCAGATTGATCGCAGCAGAGATGGGGAGAATCCATGCTATCCAGCCAAAGTGTGGCGTGTCTGCTGAACCTCTCCTCTGGACAAAGATGTCCCAGTTTCTCACAATGGTAAAAAGCAGCACCAACAGCAACACAATGTTGCAAAGCCCCACAAAAAGGTACACGTAATGACAAAATTACCCTTAGGAATAAAGACTGCATTTTCAGTGTGTGTTAGTGGTAGTGATGGCAAACTAAAGCAGTAAAAATATAACTTTTGTAAAACATTTGAAGACAAGCACACGTGGATTATAAAGACATTCATTCAAACCATAACATTAGAAGAGCATATATATATATAAAGCGTATATTTACTGAAGGTTAAAACAGTTTTTACAAGCACATCTAAGCAACTGTAAACAGCCAATTTTACAATGTAAAGGGTTGGGACAAAAATTGAACTCTACAGTAATTTAACCAGCTTTAAATTGGCATTACAATTTCCCAAATATCGGCTCAAGAAAGAATGTTTAACCAGCTAACTCAGGCAAATTAACCTCAATGACTGATGGGAGCTGATCTGAGAGATGTAAACATGTAAGACTTTTACCTTTTACATTAAGTTTATTGAAAGTTATTATTGTCATATTTTTAAACTATTTCTATATTTCAAGTGCAGCTATTTTCTGACGCCTTATCATTTTCCCACATGGTCTTTTTCAAACTTACCCAGAGTGCTCCTGCTCACTCATAAATTATTGGAAAGTTTTTCAGTGTTGGCACATTCACCTTTCTCACAATGTTGACGGAGGCTGTTAGTGCACCGTCATTGGTCAATGGGAGGAGGTGGAGGTGTGGCCTCCGTGGCAATGACATTGCATTATCTTTGACAGAGGTCATGGGTGAAAGGTCAAAGGGCTTCTACAGACACTACAAAGAAACAGACACTCTGCCACAAGCTTCCTGCGCTGCTCTCTTATCTGCCTAACGTTCAATCTTGTTTATGTTTGTGGTCAAAGGGTCGGAAGTCAACCCAAAATGAAAAAGTTACAAGACCAGAGCATCACAGAATTATTTTTTCTTTAAAGATCAGGTTATTTTCAAATTTTGATAAAAACATTTAGTACCGGATGATTCATGCAGCAAATTGTGATGCTCACAGGGGAAAAAAAAGTTTTTGTGATTAGAAGTGGCTTCCTGTGGAAGTAAAAACAAAAAAAGACTACAAAGAGCAGAGAGAATATTAATGTGACTGAGCATCTTTATCATGTGGAAGACATTAAACAGACAGTCCTCTCAGTTCTCAGGCCGACCGTTCTGTTTCATCTAGTTTCTCACTATCAATCATTTTAGGAGCTAAACACGTCTTTATTTTCTCAAGTCAACAGGGATGCTGTTCAGCAAATTCAAATTCCATTTTATGATGCAGGAAGAATTACACCGGTCCTCGGGCCGTACACGCTTAACACGACAATTCAATTCACTGTCAATTCTGATACTCTTATAAAAATGTGTTAATTATGAGATAAAGGAAAAATGTTAACACAGAAAAGTAGAGAATAAATTAATGGTAGAAGGATAAGTTTAGAAGTTGGAAAAAGTTGCCAGACAAAAAAGGAGCAAAACAGTTACTGAATGACCATTAAACGATTTTATCCAAGAGAGATGCTGAAGGATGTAGAAGAAAAAACGTAGTAGTAGGATGCACTACCTTCTGAGGTCCAATAGATGGTGGTATATTGTGAGACATAACTGTGAGTAAGTGACTCCACTGGCGCTCAATCAAAGAGAAAAATGTATATTCTTGTCATTTATTCTATTCTTCATGTTTTTCTGTTTCATTATTTTAAGTTTAAAGAAGATTAAGCCTCAGAGTTGACCTGTGGTGTGAAAAGCTGTGTAAATACATCAATATGAATGTTACACAATGATATTTACATATGATTTTAATTACTCTCAGATTTGCATTTAATACTGGGTATATTATAATAGCTACTGACTCTTTGAAGGCATATGAGACACACACACACAGGAGCGGTAAGTAAAAGACTAATAGTGCGGGGAAAACAAGCAGACGGGGTTTTAACCAGGCATCAGAGAAACTTTTGTACTTGAGAATGTGCGAGTGCGGCTATGAATGTGATCTTTAGAGGAAACGCTAAAAGAAAGGCAGAGGGAGCAGGAAGAGGCTGCACCTGCAGAGGAGGTCTTCAGCTTTTAAGCCACCCGCTGTGCAAGGAGGGAGACAGATAGAGAGGAAGGGGGGGGAGGGAGAGAAAGAGGCTGCAGCAGCTGCAAGGTTCAGAGACAGAACAGAGGCAGAACACAGTCGAAGTCAGGGATGGGAGCAAAAAGAAAGACGCAAGAGAGCGACCTCTTCTTCTCCCAAAGGCCCCCTGCTGTGGCCCCCGTTTACTCTCCTATGAGTCTTGTAAAGCAATTCAACATGGGAGAAAAAAAAATCAGTAGAGCTTGGCTGGTGTTTGAAATCATATGTAAATAAGGCACATTGATAATGATGCGCCAGAGGAGGAAATTCCACTAATTACCTTACAGATACTTGACAGGGAGCAGGAGGCGAATGTACTTGATGTTTCTTTAGTGAATGAAAGTTAGAGAAAAGAAAGAGGAAAAGATCTGATGGCAAGATGACAGGTTTCCATTTAAACTCACTGCAAGTCTTTCATTTGGCTTTTGACTCTGCGTAATCGTGGGTTTATTCTACGATGAAGTCGGTTTGTTAAGTTTTTTAAGAAAATGAATGTGCTGAAAGGGAACGCGACTGATTCACTGTCTGGCTATGTGTTGGAATTCAGACGGTGGAGGAAGTAGATACAGTATATCATGCAGAGTAGGTAGACGTAAGAACAACCTTGGTCCAAATTTCATGCAGTGAAGAACACCAATTTATGATGTTCACTATCAACGGACAGAAAAAAAGAACATATTTCCACAGTTATCTTTATACAACTTTGCAGCCCATCCTAACCAGTCCTTCCTTCTAGATCTGTTTGTCCACAGCAGGAGGGAAGAGTAAATGACAGGAGAGGTAGACCATGATAAACACAAATGACCTGTTGCCTCGATGTGAACGTGAACAGCGGTTCCACTCGGAGCAGCACAGTGTGTGTGTCTCCACCATAAACAAGGCTCAGCTCCTGTGATTTTATTGTACGTTCCTAACAGGCTTCACTAAATAATGTCTAAAGTGTGTATAAAACCTCCAGCATCTGTTTGTCCCCTCTCTCAATAAATAGGTGCTGTTTAAATTACACTGTCTGAATGACCCTCTTGTCGTGGCCTGACGAGCGCAGAGAGAACAGGAAAATTAATTAGGGAGCAGATGCTTATGCAGCGTTTCCTCCACCTACATTTCTGTGTCGACATCCAAGGACAATATTGGCTCCTCTGATACGTACAGTCATGAAGAGTAAACAGGAAAAAATAACTTCACAAGGATCTGCGAACAGCTACGATTTACAAACACATTCTTAGTGGGAATGCCTTCACAAGAACCTCTTTTTCACCTTCACCAAAAACTGTGCAGTCAGTTATTTGAACTTTCACCTAAGTTTTAGCTTTTCCTGCCAAGACCTGGATTGTTTTTAAATCTAGGTCCATTTTCCTTTAAAATATTTTTCTCCCCAATTATCCTTTATGATGCTAGTGGGTGACGCTAGTGTCTGATGCAAAGGCAATGGTTAACACCTGATGTCAGTTTCTCTGCAAATCAAAAAATGGCCAGAAAACAATCACATAAAAAAAAACACTGACTGGATTTTTAAAACATATCTATAATAATTAGTCAATCATTAAGAACAGGCTGAATCTTAAATTATATCATGTTTTTTTTTTTGTTTGTTTCTCTTTGCTTTGGTGTGTTCGACTTTGTTTATACTGTACTGAATCCTGTCGATTGTTAATTTAAATCCTCAGTCTCACCCTTTTTCAATATTCTTCTCTTCAATCAGAGGCTGCAGAAGATTAGCCGACTAGTCAAACATTCTTTTGCTACACATTTGTAGTTTTGAGTGTCGAATAATACTGAACCCTTTTGAAAACATTCCTCAAACTGCAGCCGTGACAATAGTGATGAGCGACTCTTCTCTCATCAGGGTATTGAAATCGAGTGTTTTGATGACTTACAGCTCTGTGGCGATGCCAGAAGTGGCCAGCTTTGAGACATTGTCGGCAGAAATCGGGTCACTGAAGAGGCACCTCCTGCAGATCGACTCACCGGTCGTCCTCTGCCACAACGACCTGCTGACAAAAAACATAATATACAACCAGAAAGAGGGTGAGGAGCAGATCAGAGAAAGGGAGGGAGACCTTACAAATTATCTTATCGTAAAGCCAAATATACAACAGAGGAACTCTTCAGTTGCAGCTCTGTGTCGATCAGAAAATTTAAGTCCACTACCAACACTAACGAGAAATAAAGTAAAGTTCTGCTTTTATCTGTAAGAAAAAAAAATCTAAGTCTTTATTTAAAGCCTTTGCACTGCTGAAAATTCTCCATTTCATTAATTTTTTTTCTACTTTCTTTTGTTATGAACATTATTTTCTTATTCCCAATTATCTGTCAGGAATGTCCATGGTGACTGTGAGTGAAAAAAAAAAAAAAGAATCTCCCAATTCCTTTGACTTCTGCAAGGTTCTGTAGTTTGAACAAAGGCAGGCAGAATCAGCTTTATCTCAGTCATCATCACTTCTCTATGTTTCCTGGTAACTGCTGCTGCCGCCTGTCTTCTCCTCCTGCATTAGGGAGAGTGAAATTCATCGACTACGAGTATGCAGACTACAACTACCAGGCCTTCGATATTGGCAATCACTTCAACGAATTTGCGGGTAGGTGAAGTGATGAAAGAGAAAAAGTTGAATTTGCCTTCGAAGCATTCATCGAGGCCAGGACTTAAAGACTGTCTATAGTAGAAGAGCCAGTGCAGTGGAGTAGCACGTAAGTGTGATGTTCCATTTACACCACTATTTATGGAGGAAAACGTCACTCAGGTCCATATTTTTTTATATGCTTGGCATAATAGCTAATGAGGTCAGAAAAAAAATCCAAAAATATATAAAAAAGAAAATGAATCCACCGAAAGTTAAGGACCTGCCACAAGCTTTCATGGAACCTGAAGGGTTTGAAGACCCAAGTTAACAAAGCCCTGTCCTGCTAACCTGATAATCACTGTTTAATTAACACGAGAACGTGTGTTTTTCAGGTGTGAACGTCAACTACAGCTTCTACCCAAGCCCAGAGCTGCAGAGAGACTGGCTGAAGGTCTACCTGCAGAGCTACAAGGAAAGCACTGGACGTGAGGCGACTGTTACAGAGGCAGAAGTCACACAGCTCTACATTCAAGTCTGTAAATTCTCACTGGTGAGTTTCCGCTCCGTCTGGCGAGGTTGAAATGTTCAGATATGTCATTATCAGACTGTGAAATGTGTCAAATCTGTTTTTCCTCCTGCAAGGAGTCAAATGTCTCAAAATTATACATGTAGTGAGTGCAGTTCAATAAAATCCATATGTGCAAACTAAAATGGTGGCGAGGCAACACCTCACCATCACAATTAACTTTTCCAGGGCCCAGACAAAAAAAAAAAGAAAAGAAAACCAAACCGGATCCACAGCTGACACGCGGCTGCTCAAATGTTGATGATCTCCATCTACGACGATTAGAAACTACCGCAAAAGAGAAATTAGAGACAGCAGTCAAATTATTTTTTTTATGACCACAATTTTCATTCTTTACTGTCTGAAGTGCTGCTGGTCTATCCATCTAAAAAACATTTTCAGAGCTCAAAACAATATATGAAATTGTCTGACCAGCGTAGGGTTGGTGAAAATGTCTCCTGAAGTAGCCCAGTAATGACAGGGCAGAATATGACTTTCAAAATGATCTGCACCTCATCTACGGGGGAGGGAAGAGAAGGTGAGGAAATAAAGTCAGAGAGACAATAATATGACTATTGATGACAGACTTCATATGAAAAATAAAGTAGGATCAGAGTGAGACAGAAGGGAAATCATCACCAAGATATATATATATATATATATATATTAAAAAATATAGCAGAAGATACAGAGATATATTTCAAAACTACGGTCAACCTTAGTTAAATGATGGTTTTTTTTTCCCCCTTATGAGTAATTCCATCGTTTGGATTAGTCACAAAAAGAAGGAGTGAAAACATACATCTACCTGTTGTTATACGTCTGTCTTTTCCAGCACATACTCTGAAAGATTATTCAGATTAAAATTGCAATCGGTTGAAAGCTTTACCAAAAACCTTTGACAAATCTTATAATGACGGCTGACAACTGATTCAAATGTCTAATCAAACTATATTGACGATTTTTACTAATTTATCTAAAATTTTGATCCAGATGTGCATAATAAAGAAAAAGTGAGAATAATGAGAGAAAAGAATAAAAATAGACAATAAGAAAAGGCTCTAAAATGTTCTAACTATTTTTCTTTTGGCCTTTGGGTTTCTTTTCTTTTCTTTTTTTGCTACACAATTTTGTAATGTGGGTGTAAATTCAGCATAATTTTTTTTTTTTGCTACACAATTTTGTAATGTAGGTGTAAATTCAGCATAATTTTTTAATACTTTTTGTAAGATATTTCAATAAAGTATTATTTTTTTAGTGCAGAGAAAAAGGTTCTTTGGTTCCTGTTGTATTAAGAGAGAAAATGCTATCAATGAACATAAAATGTCAAATAAACAACAAACATTGATTAGTTAATTGTTTTTTTCAGGTACAGTAAATCCAGCTGGGTTTTTTTTATTTTGCTGAAATGACTTTTTCCTTTTAGAAAAGAAAAGACAGTTAGTATTCATTAATTCTGGGACTTTTTAATGCCTTTGTGTCTGTGATTTTTCCTTTCCTGTATTTCTTAATTTCATCATTCTGTGCCATGTGTGCATCACTCAACAATTGTCTGAAATAATCAACCTACATTGATTTCAGATAATATCAATGGTTAATCATGTATGTGAATTTTTACTTCATGTTAACAGTGGAAACCCCGTGAATTAAGAGCATCAGTGCACTTTGAAAGAAACCCTAATACACCGCTGTGTGGCATTGACAAAGTCTGGCCCAATGCCAGATCCTAAATCCTGGGTAAACCTTGCCAAGACCCTGTGAGGTCTTTACGACTCATCCGCTCCGCCGCTGGGATCGCCCGTGATGCGGAGG